CCAAACCATCTCAAACCTTTTCCTTCCCACTGAATAGCACCCATTATTTTTGATTCCCTGTGATATATATTGTTCTTAGAGGGTCATTGGTTGAAGAGTGCAAAGAAATCTGAGTCCACCTTTAGGGAACATTAGGAAAAGTGAATCCCTTATTCCAGTTTCCCATCTTTTGGGAAAGAAAGAAGGAAGGAAGGAAGGGAGGGAGGAAGGAAGGAAGGAAGGAAAGAAGGAAGGGAGGAGGGAAAAAAAGGAAAGGAAAGGAAAGGAAAGGGAAAAAGAAAAGGGAAAGGAAAGGAAAAAGAAAGAAAGAAAGGAGAGAGAGGGAGGGAGGGAAGAGAAAGAAGGAGGAAGGGAGAGAGAAAGATGAAAGAAAGAAAGAAAGAAAGAAAGAAAGAAAGAAAGAAAGAAAGAAAGAAAGAAAGAAAGAAAGAAAGAAAGAAAAAAGAAAGAAAAGAAAAAAAGAAAAAGTAAGACATGTAGTTTACTTTTACCATTTTGCACAAGAGGTTATTTGAGAGCTGTTGATTTTTCTTTTCTCTCCTCCTCCCAAAAGGATTCCAGTAACTTAATACTTCAGCATAAATGGATGATTGGACATACATGATTGATTCTAGCTCAGGCTATGTTTAGTTTCTTTTAAAGTCAAATTTTTAAGATGCTATCTTCAAATGTGCATAATAAATCATGACCAATTTGAATTAGCTGAAGAGAAAAAAAATGAATTAGCTGAAGAGAATGTAGTCAGTTCTTTTATGAAAAAAAATCAAAATTTTAGCAATAAAAAATAAATGAAGCATATGCTGCTGAGCCAGACTGACTAAATTCAAATCCTTGTGCTCCACCTGGCCACTCTGGCTTTGGGCAAGTTCCCAAATCTCTCCATACCTCAATTTCTTCTCAAGATGGGGATAAAAATGGTATGCCCCTCTTAGGTTTCTATGAGAATTGAATGAATTCACACTTTTTAAATGCTTTAAAAGTGATTCAGTAATCATTAGCTGTAACTGTTATTCACTCATTCGTTTGCTGTTTTCTTTTAATAAATATTTGAGTATCTTTCTCATGCCAAGTATAAGTACAAGCATATAGCAATGCATAAAACTGATTAAAGATTTAACTTTATTATTATCATTTCAAGTCATCATGAGATGTCTTCATAAACCATGATGGATATTTATCAGCCTTCTCATCCTCAGTGGTTTAGTATATATAGAACCTTGCACAAAATAGCTGCTTAATAAATGTTGATGGAATCAAGCTTGAATACGTGAGTCATTGCAACACAGGATAATAAGCACTTAATTTAGAGTTAGGAGATGCACTGTCAAGTCCCAGGTTCTTCCCTAGAGCATTATGTGACCTTGAGAAATTTACTGAAAAAATTAATCTGAAAACTAAGAAAACTATATCATGAAACCACTAAGATCTCTTTTGATCATGATTCTACCAGGTAACTGTCATGATGCACTATTTGTTGACTGGTTATAGTTCTGTTTTTCTTAAATTTAATGAACTTTTCATTTTAGAATAGTTTTAGATTTACAGAAAAGGTGCAAGAATATTACGGAGGGTACCTGTATACCCTGCATCCAGTTTGCCCTTACTGTTAACATCTTATGGGGTCATAATGCATTTGTCAAAACTAATGAACCAATAGTGATACATTATTATTAACTAAAGTCCATGTTTTATTCCGATTTCCTAAGTTTTTACCTAATGTCCTTTTTTTTTTTTGCTCCAAAATCCCAACCTGGCTACCACATTATATACAGTCATCACATCATGTCCCCTTAGACTCATCTAGATTTGACAGTTTCTCAGACATTCCTAGTTTTGATGACCTTAACAGTGTTGGGGACTATTGGTCAGGAATTTCATAAAATGTCTTTAAATTTAGGTTTATTGAATGCTTTTCCCATGGTCAGACAAGGGTTGTGAGTTTGGGGGAGGAAATATAGAGGTAATTCGTCTCACATCTTATCAAAGATATATGCTATTAATGTGAACACCCATTGAAGATTCTATTTTTATGGTTGGATAAGAATTATGTATAATTGGTAACTTAATGTATGATATTAAGGAAAATCTCTTGGCTAGATGTAGTTTTCTAGGCAATGTATAACATAGTTGATTCTCTTTAAATACAGCATAATCTTAAAATATACTTACCTTACTTTTTCCATGAAAAAGTTTCCTCACCACTGATAAATGAAAAGTAACTGAAAAATCCATTGTTATAAATTAATAGTAATCCTACCTATGGATACAAGATTTATATATTAAAGTTAAAGTGAAAAATATAACTGTTTGTATTTCTCTCAAATTAACTGCGAAATTGTGAAAATAACAGATTTGTGCTCAGCTATGAGGTCTAAAGCACCAAAGCAGAAGGGCCAAAAGTTAAGCATTTTGATACTAATTCCCCTAAACCTTTCTCATGCAAAGAACTTGCCTTAAGAAATGTTAATACTTCACTAAGCCCTAGGCATAGAGAATCTGGCTGTTTGTAATCTTCTGGCATCCTTGGTCTAAATGTACATTATCCTCTGAGGTTAGAAAAAATACTAATGTAGCTGTCACAGGGATTACAAGATCCATGGTTTTGTTTATTCTATATTTTTCTTATGAATTTCACTATAAATAGGGAAGTTGGTTTAGGGTTACTATGATCTATGCTATGCACAGTTTTCAGATCAAGACATAAGATAAACATAGTCAATCCAGAGGAAAAGTTGTTAGAAGTAGGGTTTTACTAGGGATATCCTTACTTGGATTTAAATGAAATAAATAGCCGGAGTATCACACTGGCTCCAGCATGTAGCCACACAAAGTTTAAATATACCTATATTTATGGTTGTCACTCCCCAAGGAGCTGATTGTAAGACCAGTTTAGTAGTTTTAGCCTACTGCTGTTTGTCACCTTACTTTGTGACCTTACCATGTGTCACAGTCATGGCCAAGAATATCATCCACAACCTTTTTATTTTAAATCCCTGATTTTTTCAATCTATAAAACACTTTGCCCTGACTCACCGTATTCTATTTCTGTGACTTTGGGAAATGTCCTTAATTTTTGGAATTTCCTCACTTGTACAAGTTTGTGTGAAGGTTAAATGAAATTATGTATATAAAACACTTAGCAAATTAACTGGGCATTTGTTATTTATTCATAGACACATATGCATATGCTTTCAATCATTTCTGGTTTGTTGGGAGCAATGAATAGCTACTAGACTATCTTACAGTAGTCATTGCTTTTGATGCCATATCTAGGTTCTCAGAAATATTTTCTAGCTGTTACCTGGTATTTTAACATTGGCACTTCAAGAGATAAGTAAAAATTAAACAGGAAATGAACCTGTCAATGTTCAAGGGAATAAATGTATTCTGGTGGCAAAACTTGGCATTAGAGTAATTTTATTTATTTTTCTCTAGTCATGAAAACTGATGAGCAGTATGACTCTTTTTACATGGTTGAAGGATATTCTTCAAAACACTAAAGTAGGCTTACTCGAGGATCTTAGCAGTTAAATAAGTGATTAAACATGTATGAAGCGTCAGGCAAAGGAGATAAGATCCAGATGAATTGTTTTATACAACAGCCCTCAACAAGAGCCCATTTCTCTTCTTATTGACTAGTGTTTCTGATGCCATATTTGGGAACGAAGCCATAACCAATCTCATCTAAACTCCCACCTCTATATCTGGATCAAAGGAGATGTCCAAGTTAAAGGGCATCCTGTAACTGCAATCAACTCTTGATAATGTAATCTAATAGGAAGTAAGCATTTATGAGGACAATACTTCATTGCAGGCAGACCACTGTCCCTTATAACCACTGCCTAATTCATTTATTATGAACTTTTCAGTGTGGCTTTAATGACCATGGCAGCATCTGGAATGAAAAACAGTTCCAGGAGCAGGTGTGGCTAGAGAGACAGCCTGGGAATATTTTGAATAGGAGGTTAAGAACCAGCCAGCTGGGAGGCCGAGTAAGTAGTAGAAAAGTAGAAAGGATAGGAGCATTAGAGCTCCCTTGCAGTTTGTTATTGGATATGGCAAACATTGCTAATGGTAATTGGTAATTGTCATCTTTGGAATGGGAGCTGTGTATACCCAAGTGAAGTCAGGAGAAAGGACTTTTGCTTTAGAGGTTGACCTCTCCAGATTTAGAATCAGACTTCGGAGCCAGAGGGTTGTAGGGTTCCAGTACATCAACACTTTCATAGTCATCAGACTCTTAAAACAATGATGTGACCTTAATATGGTGTGACCAGACTGTGAGTTTCTTGTAGAGTAACCACTGATGTTTGAATACTGTGTAACAAACTCTCTGAACACAGCCTGGTACAGAGCATACATTTAATAAATATGCCAGGCCAGAGTTTTTGTACCTGGCATTGAATATACGACTCTTTGTAAATAGGACAATGATTTTCTAAATTGTTGATCCTGAACAAACCAGTATGTCATCAGGGTTCCATTTTTTTTTTTTCTTTCTTTCTTTCTTTTTTTTTTTGCACAAGCCTATAGAAAAGGATCAGTACTTATATTTTAATTAAAGAAATAAATGTAGAGGGAAAATAGACAAGTAATAAATAAAAATAAAAATATCTTAAAAGTGTTTATCCTCTATTTTTTAAAGCCATCTGTGTAGAAATAGATGCATACAATGTACAATGCATTGTAAAGACTATTTTACTAAGGCCACATGTTAACAAGAAAAATCTGTTGGTATGTTTATTTGCCCCGCAGAAAAAAATGTGAGTGTATTTGGGTGTATTTTTCAGAATCATCTGCATGGTTTATATCAATTTAGGCAACTACATGTGGCCATCTATGCAAATTTCTTCATGAGATGATTGACTCATGGTCGACAAGCAGCAATTGCTGGCTGCTCTTATTATTATTAGCAGAATGTAATGTTAGTGATACATTTCCAAATAGGGAAGGGTAATACCAGTGTTTTTCTCCTCTTCCCTGTGCTATTTTGAATGCAGACAGTACCACAGGGACACCAGCAATATCAACAACAACTGTGGAAATTCGCAAAAGCAGTGTTATGACAACTGAGATCACCTCCAAAGTGGAAAAAAGCCCCACGACAGCCACTGGCAATAGCTCATGTCCTTCCACAGAGACTGAGGAAGAAAAGGCAAAACGGCTTCTTTACTGTTCGCTATGCAAGGTTGCTGTCAACTCCGCCTCGCAGCTGGAGGCGCACAACAGTGGTGAGATGCAGTGATTTCTTTTCTGTCTCAACAGCTCTGCAATTATCTTCCTCTGAATGGATTGTATCTTTTGCAGCAGGGGACAAAGGGGTGGTGGAAAACTGGCAATTATTACATGGAAGTCATTAACCATTAAAAAATAAAAATGACATGCGAAGTGTCATTTACACGAGACCTTGCAGGGCTCCTGCGCCTTGATGTGCTTGTGTTTGTGTTTATGGATGTGTTTCTGTGTGTGTGCGTGCACAGGTGTTATTAAACATTAGGAGATAAAGTAAAATATAATTCTAAAGTATAAGCTTTGCATTTATTTGATTTCAAAACTGCTATGTACTCCCACACACTGGCTTCTAAATGAAGTTTTTTGAAGTTTTTTCAATGATATAGTTGCAAAATCTGGTTCCATAATTCCATGAGCTTTTAGCTAAAACCTCTCCATTATGGTTTTTATGGCAAAATGATGCCAATTGGGCTAATTCTATATCACCTGGGCAATTAAACAGAAAGTGCTTATTATGGGCAACCACTGAGGTATGTTCTCTACATGTAATATTTCATTTATTCTTTGTGACAACCTAAACATACTATTCTTGCTATTCGATTGAGGCTCAGGCAAGGCACATGACCAACTAAGTGGCTGAGCCATGATTTAAACTTAGGTCTTTCTAACTTAAACACTAAACTTGAACATATCTTAACAGAATATACCCATAAGCCAGGATGAAATGCTTCCCCAATGTATTTCAATTCTATCCAACTACTGTATATCTGTATGTATAGAAAGATATTACATAGATATTATATACCTATACCTATCTATCTAGATACGTAGATACAAAAAGAGAGTCTAAATCTATATATCTATATCTATATTATCTATCAATAAAATCTAGATTATATCGATATATTGATATAAATAATTGTATATATATCCTGCCTGAGATTTTAGCCAGCCCTTTGGCCCTAGATTAGATTTCCTTTAAAAGGCCTAGTTCATTGCCAGGACCCTGTCAGCAATTACAATAGGAACAGAATCATTTGTAAATCATACCCTGGGTTAATATTGCAGCTTTATGTCGGCTGTCACTGGCCAATCACTGTGCTGCACGGTAATGTTCAAGTATTGACTTCAGTATTCTAAGGGAATAGTTGCAGATGGAGAGCAATTCCTTCAGCACATATCTCCCCCCCGCCCCCGCCCCACGCATGCAACATTAGTTGTGCCGTCTGGGAGTTCATGAGTTCAGAGGCTGAGAAATACAGAAAAAGATCTGTCCCCAAGTAAGAATCTATACTGTGCGGACGTGCCTCATGTTTTACTCATGCAATTACATTATTCAGGGATGCCAGATAATTGGAGAGCAAAAACATCATTGAAAGTCCATTTATTTCTCAAGAATTCTTGATCATTCTGCAGACTGAGAGAGAAACACATTCATTTTGAGGGGGGATCAGCTTTGACAGATAAAGCATACCTTTGAGGCTGGAGTTAATTTATCAAGAATTTAGATGTCCTTCCTGAATTCTCGTCAGAAACATCAGATTAAGAAGCAAAGAATAATTAGTTATTTCATTATGTTGTATTAGGTCAAAATTTTTCATATTCCAATTCTACAATCCTCATCCCTGCTTTGTGTGTCGGAAATGCCCACAAAGCTTTAAAAGCATATTCACCCATGTCACTTTATATATATATATATAAATTTTAAATAATTAAATAAATATAGAAGGAAAATAGACAAGTAATAAAGAAAAATAAAAATATCTTAAAAGTGTTTATCCTCTATTTTTTAAAAAGCCATCTGTGTAGAAAGTAATTGGCATATATATATATATATATATATTTCCTATATTCAGGGATTCTGATTTATTATACATCCAGGCCTAGAAGCTATAGTGTTTGGGAAAAGAAAAGAAGCAAAAACAAAAAAACTCAAAAGTACTGTGCAGGCAGAGCTGAGTACTATTCTAACCATCTTATCTGGGAGTTTAAGGTGGCAAATGCAGTGAAACCTTACAGGAATCGTTTTATAGGGGTGTCCCCTCCGAACCTTCAGCCTGCTTAGGGGACTATACCCCCCTTCTGTCTAAGCTTGGTTTCTTTATCCCTGCATTTCCCTTCCTACATCAGAGATCTTTTTCCAGGGTCCAGGCCCGGCATTTCCCTTCCTACATCAGAGATCTTTTTCCAGGGTCCAGGCCCGGTGCTTATTTTAGGCCTCCCGGAGACTTGCACTAGCCAATTGGGCCAGAACTGGAGGTGGCAAAGGAAGAAGTGAAGATACACAAGTAAATTCTCTTTAACCCCCTTTGTGTGCCATTTTTGATCTGCAGATTCAGCTCTCTTCTTTGTAACTGAAGCCCCAGTGGGAGGCGTGTTGTGTCTGGGACGTCCGCTACATGTGGAAGGCAAATGCAGTCGTTCCCATATTCAAACAACTGCCCCTTGTGCACTGGTTCCTGCATCATTCCCTTAGGATCCCATCTGGGGAAACCCAGGGGAGGGGGGTGTAAAGGAGAGAGGATCTCTGTAGGCTCACTTGCCCGTCACGAAAAGAATATCTGCTGTAGGATTCATCATAGGATTAGTATGGTGTGTTGTAGTTTGGGTTCCATTAGAAGCAGACTTTGAGACCAGGATTTGAGAGCAAACGGCTTTTAGGGGAGACCAGGGGCACAGGTAAGGAAGTGGGAAGAGCGAACAGGGAAGGGAAGCAGCCAGTGCCATGTGCATCACTCGGCAGTTACCAACGTGGGCAATTGGAACTTGCCAAACAAAGCCGTGACCCTGGTTCACACTGCATTTCACTGTTTTAAACATAAAAAGGTCCAGTGGTCAGATAGGATGACAGAATTGAGTTAGCTCAAATTCTGTGGCTTCATCTTTACAATCATGGTGCTATCATCTCATTGTTCATTTATGATCTACTGTTTACATTAAAAATACAGAGTACCACAGCGGTTGAATGCACGAACTGCAGCCTTTGTGAGCTTGAATGATTTCAAACTGTTACGGACTTGCTAATGAAACAAGAGCCTATAGCTGAATTCCTGTGTGTCTGTGGCCCACGGTATAATGGAGAGGTCTACACATTAATTTCCATGTAGCATATGATGTTTAGTATAAAATAAGTTAGACAATGGGCTAATTTAATATATGCTAAAATCTCAATAGTAAAAACAGAATATAGACAAATTGTGTTCTAGGAAGCAGTCCTTTATCACGGACATTAGTTAGCATTGCCAGTTCGTGGTGCTAGTGGAAAGACAACTGTTTTAGTCCACTTAATTATTTTCTAATTCTCTGTAATGGACCCCGTGTTACCTGCACCCAAAGCAGACCACAATCACTGCCTGAGTGCTCCACTCCCCCCACACTCACCCCCACCTCTCCAATATCACTTGCAGAGTTCTCTGCTTTCTTTCAGAGCTAGATAGTAGGAAGCCACTGTGAAGATTGGGCCTTTTTTCAGGGAACCAGGTTTGAAGGCTGATTTTGTTCAGAAGCAACCAGGCTATAGGGTGGGGAGATGTGTCTTTGGCATCTAAATTGTGGTTCTATGTATTTCTCTCTTTTTTTTTTTTCCCCTTCAGAAACACCTTGTATGCATGGAATAAGGCCTGTAGCTCTGAATGTAGACTTGTGCATTTATGGTTTTTCTTTTAATCTTAAAAAAATATATTCTTAATCATAAACTGATTTTGACTATAGCTTCCATCAAACACCACCTCTTCTTCTATGTTACAATGGAACAAGCTAGAAGTGATCAGACCATTTTTACCTCAGATCTGCAAATAACAATTCTATGTGTACCTGGGCAAGTCGACTGTCCTCTTTGGACTTCGCTGTCTCTCTCTCAGTCTCTCTCTAATGGAGCTAAGAGGCCATATGGCACCTTGTAAGGATGAATTATTATGTCATGATTATTAGTATGACCACAGTTGCTGCTAACTTTATTTGGGGATTGCTTGCGTTATTTCATTTGCTTTCTCTTTTTATTTTTCACTAAAGTTGCAGTTAATGGATTTATATTCCATAACATCGGAATGCAGGATTTAAATATGAGCATTCCTGCTTTGCATTTTTTCTTTTCTAGAATTTGAGAGAAGTAGTTCTAAGCTTACTAGCATGATTCACAAAACAGTCTAAGAATGTTTAAAACAACTTAAGAGGACATATTCTTTTCAAAAGATCTGTAAGTCTCCTTTTAGTTGTATGTTATAGACACAGATAATACTAAAAAAATGTTTTGTCTTTTTCTTCAAAGAAATCTCCCCAAAACATTCTATTAAGTAATGCTTTGCTTAGCTGATTTTGATGGTTTTCTCTATATAATTAAAAAAAAAAAAACCTTTGAAATGTTTTATAGTTAATGCTTATAACAAATTTGGGTAAATTTTTCTGACAATAACTTGGAGTGGTAACATTTGATCATTTTCACTAGGCTCATTCAAGATTTCTATCCCTAGACAGAGCTTATTCTATCCCTCACTAAGTTTTAATATACAGAAAAGGCAGTTATCAAAGGATAGATTTTACTAACTTCTAAAGTATTTAGAGATTTCCAAATTTTTGCTTAAACAAGACCAGCACTGTTAAGAAAAAGAGAATTGACTAAAATTTATTGAGAGCACATGGAAGTGCCAAAAGTAATCCTTAAAACAATAAATGCATTTAATGCAACACTTCAGTAGAGCAGATAATTTCGTTTTTCACAGCTGAGGACACTGAGGCACAAAGAAATGTACACAGCTAATGGAGGCAATCTCTGACTCCTACCACTCCTGAGTCTGAGCTCACAATGCTCTTTACAAATATCTGTTCATTGCTCTTTATTAATATCTAATACTTGAGCTGTATCTACTTGTGTCAGGCACTGAGAATACAGTATGAGCAAAACCCAGGAGTTACCTTCAAGAAGCCCAGGTCTAATCCATGTTTCTGTGTTCAGGAAAAGAATTAGGTAAAACTTGTTTCATCGAGACATCTGTTTCACATTTCGAGTGAAAAATTCATTTAAGCAAGTCAGCTGTGGTCAGTGTTCATGGCCTTATTATTATTAAGGTCCAAAGATTATCTGCCACTCCTATTCGGCATCTTCTAGGGTAACGGTAAGCTTCTCAATTACAAAAGATATTAACCAGGGTGGATCAAGAGTCCCTCCAGAAAGTCAGAATAAGTGTCATTCTCCTAATGACTACTTCTTAAGCATTGATAAGCCAAACCAGCCCAGAAATTCTCAGTTTGACTGAAGAAGTTGCATGGAAAAGAAATATTTTGATAAAATCACCTGTTGGGATAAAGAAGGTTGGACAACCATCTGGACACATACACGCGGCATGCACACACACACACACACACAGTAACACAAAGTGTATATGTGTGTGTATATATATATATGTATATATATAAAGTGTATATATACGTATATATATATACACAAAGTGTATACGTATATATATATATATACACACACACACATAAATAGATCTTGGGCGCCTGGGTGGCTCAGTTGGTTAAGCAACTGCCTTCGGCTCAGGTCATGATCCCGGAGTCCCAGGATCGAGTCCCACATCAGGTTCCCCGCTCAGCAAAGGAGCCTGCTTCTCCCTCTGACCCTCCCCCCTCTCATGTACTCTCTCTCATTCTCTCTCTCTCAAATAAATAAATAAATCTTTTAAAAAATAAATAAATAAATAAATAAATAAATAAATAAATCGATCTTGCTCCCTAGAGAATTGTTTTGCCCTACACTGGCTTACACCATCTGCAGAGTAAAAAGTGTTTGTGTCTATTTTGCAAGGTGGGTGGGCTTGCAAACTGCAAGAAAAAAGCAGACTGAAGGGAGGCCTCCCCACCAGCACCACAGAGCAGGCTAAGGCTCCACATTTCAAGTCCTCCAGTCTACTTACAAGGTGTTGACCTTTTTCTCTTTCCTTAATATGTTGGGATATGAGCATTTTCATAGCTGTGCATAAGAATATGACCTTCAAAGTGGAGAGTCTATGTTGTAGGAATATACATTTTTTAATATTGGATTCAGTAAAGTTGCAATCATTCTGAAAGAGACGTGCCAGCAAACCTGTTCCTTGTATTCATCACCTCTTATTTAAGGCGATGGTGATTGGCACTGACCTAGTGTGCCCCTCAATGTGTTTTCCTCATTCGTAGTCAATGATTCTGGGAGGTCGGTCCAGGAATCCGAAGTTGAGAATCTTATTTTTTATGCTTCCAGCGCTGATAACAATCTAATAAATACAAGTAGGAAAGAGAAACTACTAAAAAGGATTTAAGCAACTGGAATGGCAGAAAGTACATAAATGATAACAAGAGAAAAGTTCATAGCAAAACCATATGGCTAAGTGAGAAAAATAAAGAATAGTTATCAATGCTAAGAAAAAGAAAATTGTGAACAAAATTTTGAGAGAAAACTCCCATTCATGAACTCTAGTAGTTAAAAAAAATAAAAAAAAACAAGTGTTAATAACTGGAGTTACACTAGTTTTGAGTGAGAGTCCAGAGATGTTACTGGTTTATTAAAAAGAAGCATTTGTGTATAGTGTCTCTGCTTAGCCTTTCACTGCTCATCTTCTTGGTCATTTGTTTTTACATTTGAAATGACATGACCAATCAGTGTGACCTTTACTATCCTAATAGGGCTTTTTTTTTTTTCCAGGCGTCAAGATCTTTATACTCTTGCTCTTCCTTTTTGAACCTAAAAGACATAGCCAAGAAAGCTTGTTTGTATTCTGTTTAGAAAGTGGGTCTTTAATTAGTGCCACTTCTGTAAACACCCCATGTTTAAACTGATTACATTTGTTACACATCACCTCCAACTATACCTTTAGCAACTAAATCACTCTTCCTCATCTGCTATCATTTATGTCTTATTAGCATCAAGAGGAAATGAAACGAAGTCACACCCATTTAATTTCATCTCAGGACTCTGGAGTGTAGGTGTTCTACTAATGGTGCCGGTTTGTTATGTGGGACATTGTAAAAACATGAGTAGTTAAGTAATGTTATGTAAAGTGGTCAGAGCACCTTGTCTTCTAAATTAAGCATATTTCAGTCATAATCCCTGGAAGAACTGCTCTAAAACTAGACATCTCATTTTGTTACTGTATCATTTCTTAAAGGCATATACTAGCTAAGATTTTCTTTCTTTCTTTTTTTCTAAATCTTCCTGGCAGGTACTAAGCACAAAACCATGCTAGAAGCCCGGAATGGAAGTGGGACTATCAAAGCCTTTCCTAGGGCGGGCGTGAAAGGCAAAGGACCAGTTAATAAGGGAAACACAGGTCTGCAAAACAAAACGTTTCACTGTGAAATCTGTGATGTGCACGTCAACTCGGAAACACAACTTAAACAGGTAGACAGCACATATTCTAGAAATGAAAACAACAGATAGGGGACATCCTGATGAGCAGAATGTGTGTGCTTCCTTTGTTCCCTTTCTTTCCTGTTTTTTTCTCCCACCCATCCACCCATCCATCCACTTAATCTTCTACTCACTGCCCTTATTTATTTATGCCTATTTTAGTTGCCAAGGAAATAGTAAAACATAATATTTTCTAAGTCCTTTCAGAAAATGTCTGAAGTGAATTTGTACTATTCTTATTTCTGAAGAGTGGGAGGAAAAGGGGTATTAGGTTTTTTCTCTACCAGGTTTCCCACTCAAAAGTGTTGATTTTCTTTAAAGGTCAAATTGCAATGTTCCATTTTTACTTGTTTAGGTATTTACATGTTACAACTAATTTTATACTGTTCTATTCTTTTATTTTATGTACTTTATTACATGGTGTTGTACTGTATTTCTCAATCCTGCAGCCACCTGCTAAAGGGATGACTAATCCTATTGCATTCACTTTTACTGTGACTAGTCTTCCAAAGAGATTAGTTAGACGTTGCCAATTGAATGCCCAACCCCCATACTGTGTTGTGTTTTATATGCATATGTGCAATATTGTAGTCATTTTATGCACCTTTGTTATTTATCTTTAGAATTTTAGGGGTTGACATTTGGCTGTACAAATGTGAGGATAAATATTAGTATGGAAATAAATTCATGCCTGCCTGGGCATCTTTGTTTATTTGCACATAAAATTCCTTTAGACATTCCTTTCCTTTGTACATTTTTAAAAAGGAGATCTGTACAGCGATGAAGAAAGAGAAAGGCTGGAGAAAAGAGGCTTCTTTTTGTTAAAAATATACTAAAATGAGTAGCATAAAAAGATATATCCTCAAGCCATCAGAATCCAAGGACAAAAGTGCATGCTCTTTTGTTTTCGTCTTTCTGCAACTTGTATAAAATAATTAATATCCTTCCTCAGGTTAAAACAATATTTATGAGGGGTTTTGGGGGATTTTTTTTTTAAAGCTGTCATTTTTAATTGCTTTTAATAGCACATTAGCAGTAGAAGGCACAAAGACAGAGCTGCTGGGAAGCCCCCGAAACCTAAATACAGTCCTTACAACAAACTACAGAAGGCAGCACATCCACTGGGGGTGAGTGTCATCGTTGATTCCCAAACAACAGTGATCTTGAATGTCCCATTGTCTGCGGAACTTGACTTTGTTGTTGTTGTTGTTGTTAATTACTGAATGAAATACATGGAAAGAACCTAAGTCATGACAAACAATTGATTGGAAAGTCCAACCCCTACTCCAACAATAGAATTATTAGTTCCGTGAGTTGTTTGGGTGGTTTGCCACGTTTAGCCACTGTCCGATAACTGTATCTTTTGGAGTTGGGCTCTGGTTAATGACAGAGCCTGGGGACGGGAGTAAAGCCAAACTCTTGAGTCAGGAAAGTAATCACATGAAATCTGGTCTTGATGTTAGTGGATAATTTTAGGAAAGGGCAGTGAAAAGCAAATTCTCACATCTCCTTTTTAATATCTTCAAGGGACAAAGCACTGATGTTGTTGATACCCTCAACAGTTTTGGATTTCGAATAGCACAGTCTCAAGGGCATGGCTGATTTTATTTAATTATTACACCAAGAATAGTATCTAAGGCCTGGGGAAATTCTTCCCGGGAGATGCCCTCTTCCCATTACCCCAAATATACCTTTTAGAATAGTGAACACACTAGTGTCCTGACCTGGAATTTTTTTTTTTTAGGAGTTTAGGGGAAATCTGTGAAACCTGATAATCTCAAGCTGATATTTATGACCATGTGGAGTTTTTCGTTGTTTGTGTGTGTGTGTGTGTTTTGCTTTTGTTTTTGTTTTCCTGGTTGAATTGACCATAGCTTTTATCAGGGAGACCCAGGCCTCAGTGAAAAGTTAAGAACAACTGATCTATAGTATGTGCTGAATTGTGCATTTTGAAATCTGTTTTCTTCCAAATAGATCTTATTAATAATTGGTGCTATTGTGTGTTGCTGGCACATGAAAATATAGTTAAAGGAAAACTTCAATCATCTCTTATGAGACCTCAGTAGGAGTTGACCCAATTAATTTAGTAGCATCATCCATTTTTATGCAAATGAAGTCACTTTACTCTTTTGTACAGAAGCAATTTTAGCTTCATTGAAAGGCTGTGAATTCTGCACAGAGCTGATGTTTCAGCACTAGTCCTAACTTTGAGTGCTATTTCTGACCAGCATAGATGCAGCTTTCAACAGTCAAGTGAATGGTTCTTAAATAAACAGGGAAGTCAAATTGTGTTAATGTTACCATCCAAAACCTCCTTCCTAGCTCTATGTTACTGTTTCCATAAATGGGAGACATTCTTTCTGTGAGAACAGCCATCTTACTAACGCTACCAGCCAAAGAATGAACTGGTTTTGTAGAGTAGTGTTAAGAGAATGTTATTACCATTTGCACAAAGAGGAAGCAGACCATGGCAGATCTGGGGGGGGAGGTAAGTTTCTTCCTTGAAAGTGGAATTTTGTTATCTTTATTTCTCTTCATTAATACCTCGCACCTTGCTGTGCTCCCCAGTTTACACACTTGGATAGCCTAATAGTAGTTGACAGCATTAATAAATCTCTCTTTTAAAGTATCTATTCCATGACAGTTAATGTGTGTGTGTGTAAAGTTTCCATACTTTTTTTTCTTAACATGAATACTTTCCTCAGGAGGTATATTTATGAAGAAAAATAAAATAAGGTTGCTGAGTATTTTTCTAGAGGACTTTTCAACATCCTAAGTTGGTCATCTTCAAGTGATCTTCCAGCTCTTTCAAAGGAAAGATGTTCTACACTTTTCATTACTTTTATTGACACTTCTGTTATTTTTATTGTGTGATTTTATCTTTGTAGTTGTTTTCTGCTACATTTTAAAGCTGCCCTTCATTTTGGATTCTAAGGGTAGATGCCCCAACTCCTGTCCTTCTGCCCCCTTTTTTTTTTCTCTCTCCTTGCAGGTAAAATTAGTATTTTCAAAAGAACCTTCAAAGCCATTGGCTCCACGCATTCTACCAAACCCACTGGCAGCTGCGGCCGCCGCTGCGGCAGTAGCTGTGAACTCCCCCTTCAGTCTCCGAACTGCTCCAGCGGCCACACTGTTCCAGACCTCTGCGCTCCCGCCGGCACTCCTGAGGCCAGCTCCTGGACCTATTCGGACCGCCCACACTCCTGTGCTGTTTGCTCCTTACTGAGTTCCAAATGGGAGTACTTGTACTGCAATAATTTTTCAAAAAACAAAAAACAAAACAACAACAACAACAAAAAAAACAAAAGAGAACTATGCAGTGTTTATTTATAGTTTAAAGTCTATCTGAAGAGCCAGGACTTTTGATAGTGAATTGAAAAGATTATTTAAAAAAAAAAAAAGGAGGGAGGTCTAGGGGTGGGAAGGGAGGGGGTGGTATTTTCTCCAAATTAAAGCATTCCTCTTGAACACTGATTGTTTTAGAAGTGATCTCCAGCATTGACTTGTAGTGGTATCTAGAACTTCTGAAGCCTTTGTGACTGTGCTTTTGGGCACCTGTTTCCCTCTGCATTGTCTTTCCCGCTTTATGAAACAACTATACATTGTAAGGGCATTAACTGGTTCCAATGTGTATATATAATAATTTACGCTGTAGATTAAGATAATATGAAAAAAGAAAAAACAAAAAGAAAAAAAAAAAAGACAACAACAAAAGCAACACTGTGAATAGTAGTACCCGTGCTGGTCCTCTTGCTATGACAGCAATTACTGGGTATTTATCCCAACAAAAGTAGATACAGTAGATGTCTTGTAAAACAATAGTGCTGTGTCTCAATCTACGCCACTAGGTTTTAAAGAATTGCAAAAGGTAGAATGAACAACTATTTCATGCCAGTAAGCAGTCAAACAATACAGAAATGCCAGAGGGTTTTGTGGAGGTCTTCCTGGTCCACATTCTCCCCCTCCTATCCAGCTTGTAGATGACTTGAGATTGAGGACAAGAGTGCAGGGCTCAGCATAGAGGTGGGGGAGATAATAATAATAAAAGTAATTTCTTACAAAGTACTATTTCCCCACCCCGAAGTGGTATTGCTGGAAAGAGGCAAGGCTTTGTACTGAAACTATATCTGAAAACAGGTAAAGCCATGCATCATGGGTTTTTTAGAAACAATCAGTACAACTGTTCTGTTTCATGGATAAGGAATGATCATCACCTAAGATGATAATGCAAAGTAAAGATTTTTCATGTTAGTACATACCCAAACAAACAAACAAACAAAAAACTAAAGAATATTGCATCTCTGCAATGTCCCCTTTATATCCTACCAGTAAGGTTGTCTCTTAGGCAAAGGTTCCTGCTTTGAACATGATGATAGATGTTAGCTATTGTTGTGGGCTTTTTCTTGTTTTTTAGATTTCCTACTGACATGATATAAACAATTAATATATATTTAAATGTTAGTAAAACAAGAAAAATGAACCTGAGGTGATTACAGACCAAGGATATAGTGTTGAAAAAATTCTGGTAAGATGCACTTAACCATCATTTCTCTAGTGGAGTTATGAAATACTGGCAGCCTTTAATATTCACTAGAAGGCTGAAAGGAGTTGATGTTTTACCTTTAAAACAAGATTTATCAGGGGTATATATAAATATATGTATATTGTATATATGTTAGAAAGATTAAGAGAATAACTTATAAAAAGAAAATCTATATAAAATAATTATATAACCATCCCATGTTACATGTTATCATTAAGTTGGTAACAAATGGCATAAAAATAGCTGTGCCTTTAATTTGTGATAAAGGCTATTTGCTTTTTCCCATAGAAAGCTAACGTTTACCTATCACTATGATGGGATTCGATGCAGCCAGTCTGTTGCATTAATAAGAACAAGGAGACTCAAACTTAGAACAATGATAAAACATGTACAAATCAACCCTACATGATTTAGGTTTAGAGAAAAAAATATTTTTGAAAAGGTTTTGTAAAGACTATTTAAATCTATAGGGAAGGGCTGGGTATGGCCTTCCTGAAACTGCTCTTAACTAAACGGTAGTAACCTTTTTGAGAGGTAAAAAGATTCAAGATGAAACCATTTGAGAGATAGGTATTTAGCATTTGTCATTTTATATTTAATAAACACCCATAGCGTGCTTGGTGCTCAACATTGAACATGGTCTTTGGAGTTCTTCTCCACCATCTAGCTATATAGACATTTGTCATATAAACATATCTTTAAAGCAGTTGGCTTTATTTAACTTTTGTTAAACAAACAACAAAATAAGAAGAAGGAAGGAAGGAAGGAAAAAAAAAAGGAAGAAGGCAGGCAGATAAGAAAAACAAAAGTATTTCATTAGTCTTTGGTAAAAAGAATTTCAAACCACACATCTCTGGTTAAACATGTTGGTTAGTATTAATATTTGTTTTTTGAGAGTACCTGGTAATTTCACATTTACCAACACCTCTACTCTCTGGTCTTAGCAAGTGTTTCCTTTTTTTCACTCACAGACCCTACTGGTTCAGCCAGATGGAAAGTTGCTCATGAGTTTGGGACTCTGTCTATATCCCGTGTGACCAGCTTCTAACGGATTTGAACTTTAGTTGCCTTTTTCCTGCTTTGTCAAATATTTTGATCTTTTACTATAAGTTAGCCTGAATCCTTATCCAACAACCTTTACACCTGATAAAACCTCTTTCTGTTGGAGAACTTCATGTTAATTGATGCAATCTCACTATTATGTGCTTTTGCTGTTCTTCCCCATTTTCACCCAAGTGAATTCGCCAGTCCACTAGAAGTCAGGGCCTGTGGGATGCAAAGAGTCCTGGATCACAAGGTGTTACTAACTTTAATGATTTGCTGGGAACAAACAAATCAGCCATATTTTCTCCATCAGCCATATGAGAAAACTCAGAAATACCTAAATCCCTTCTGCCTCACTTCGCTATGGAACCATTTTTGTTTAAATGGTCTCTTAAATTGGAGTTGTAATCATCAGTTGTCTTTTACTCACTACCTAATAAAGGATGAAGCCTAACTATAGAACTTACAGTGGCTTTTCTGTGAATTACTTCCCTCCATTCCACATTATTTATCAACACCAGATCAACATCTATTAGAGTTCAGACTGCTATAAAGCTATATCCTTTTCCTTAGGGAACTTTTTTCATGAATAAAGATCAATAAGTCCGATTGGTCAGCATTGGTGCTCTGAAAATCCCCAAGGGTGGTCCGACTTTATATATCCCTTCCCATGCATCACACCCATGGCAAGGAAGTGATAGAGAAAGTATCTCTGACTTCGTTTGAAACAAATATAAATGCATGGCAGGAGCCAAATGCCTCTGGAAAAAGCAATGCTGCACCTTCTCCAGATCATCCAGACAAATGGGAAACAGTCGTTGGGGAGGTACTGTATTTCTCTTTTGAGAAAACAGGTGATTACTCATGACAAATTGCTCCTCTCACTGTTCCTAATCTTTGAAGAGTGGTTGTTCTATTCACATAAGCAAACACAGTTGGCTTTTGGCAGTTTATACCATCCCTGCCATATCTGTAAAGATTACAGTCCTTAGGTGCTATTAGGCTTCCCTTCATCTATTGCAATAATTCACTGCCATTATCATCAGAGCTATAATTTGGTTTTTCTGAAAGGTGCTACATATTTGCCTGCCAAAGAACTATTTAACCAAGAGTGTTCATACTCACTTGCAAATTAAAAGAACAGGAAATTATTAAAAAAATTAAAAGACAATAAATTTTTTAAAAAATAAGATTATTCAAATTTATTGTGGATGTGCCCATGTAAGTTTCTAAGACACAGGACCAATACATAGCACACATGGCATTAAATTTCACTTACAATTAAATTTTAAATTAATACTTTGTCCCCATACCCATGTAATGTTCAACTTTCCTGAAGAAATCGGATCACAAAGCTAAATGATTCAAGTGGTCTAAAGTCCTCTTCCTTCAAATATGAATTAATGTAGAGAACTACCTTCCAGGACATTAGCATGGATGACATTATATTAATAACTATTTGTATATGGGAGAGCATCATAAAGTGGTGGGGAAAACGAGCTGAAGGAAGTCAAATTTTATTGTAGACTTTATCTCTGAGCTGCAGGGTAATAATTAGTGGACTCATGCTTTGTCCTCAATTTCTTCATCAGTAGTATGGCTGAGCTGGTTTACTATTTCTGCATTAAAAGACCACTTCTCTCATCCTGTCAAAAATAAAATTGCTTTCTTGTAGTGAACCAGAGCTACTCAAATATTTTCATATGTCCAGAAAGGTGTTCTATATTCCTTTCTATCCTAAGTGTACACCACACTGTAGGTCACTCATTTAATCAATCAGAATGTAGACTTCAACAATTATCAGAGGAGTTGCTAATTCACACTGGACTTCTCACAAAGTCATAAAGGATGCACTGCATCTCTTTTCTCAATCTAGAACACCATAAATTTTGAACAAAACAAACCCAATAAAAGCAATAGAAAGTTGTCAGTGGGAGTGTGGAAGGGAGCTTTAAATGCCTCATCCTTATTCCCTTTGTTGTGCTTTCTCTCTTCAGCAGAAAGGGTCTCCCCATCACTAATTCTATCCTGGGTTTGCCTGTGTTTTAGCTAATGGATACTTTATTAAGACCACTTCGTCCACAGTCAAAGGATATCAGTGATGCTCTCATCATTGTTACAGCAAAAATTATTTGAACTGTGTCCTGACAGTGAATGGTTTACATATTGATTTCTGTAGGTTTTCACTAAAAAGGTAGATTTCTAGAGCACCTCTTCTGCTCTTTCTATGGCTCACTTTAATAATGACAGAGGCTACTACCAGGAAGTGAAATGGATCATTTATAAGGCAAGTCTTACTTGTCTACTTATTAGTTCTGAGAGTGGTATCAGGGCTTCCAGTGAAAGATGGATATATTGATATCTCCTCCTCAGGTGGCCTACAGGGTTGTTACTTTCAGGAATGGGTTTACAGCTTATCAGAATTATGAATGGTGATGGAAGGCCATTTCTGCACTGGAAAAACCTCCTATGTGCTACTTTTTTTAGAAGTCCATGCAGGTTACAAAACAGCACAGTTTGAAGAATTCCTTGGCTTGCTCAGGTATGAAAGGACCAAGAACTACCTTCAGTCTGATCATCTTTTTCTTGTTTTCAATGACAGAAAGTAATCTGTCTTTGACGGTCAAGTTGACTCTACAAACAGCCAAAATGCATTTCAGGTCAAACTTGATGATTAATATGTATGATCTAGTAGAGTATCTTAGAGTTTGGTCAAGTTTACTAAAACCACAGAGAATGGGGTTATGTTCTTTTCATGACTGACAAGTCAACTCTAAAAGCAATTTCCAAAGAATAGGGCTAAAATGGCTTATAAGCAAAAGAGTCCAACTAAAAATAAATACCTGAACAGTAACCAATTCTAAGGTTAATGTGTGTGTAT